TGCCAGAAGCATGGCCAATAGCAAGGTTTTCTGTCTTCACTGTGAATGTCTTTTTTTTTTTAAATATATTTTATTGATTTTTTACAGAGAGGAAGGGAGAGAGATAGAGAGCTAGAAACATCGATGAGAGAGAAACATCGATCAGCTGCCTCCTGCACATCCCCCACCGGGGATGTGCCCGAAACCCAGGTACATGCCCTTGACCGGAATCGAACCTGGGACCTTTCAGTCCGCAGGCCGACGCTCTATCCACTGAGCCAAACCGGTTTCGGTGACTGTGAATGTCTTACCTTAACTCTCGATCTGTCAACACACTGCATGTGACTGCAGAATCCACTGGAGAAAAAGGAAGCATGTTTCTGAGTGGCCACAAAAATGACTAGCTCTGTAAGTGACTCCTAGTATTTTTTATCATTTTCTAAGCAAGTACTACCTATAAGATGTACCCTATTTTTTAAAGTCATAGCATTCTCTGTCTGCAAAGGTGGGAGAAACAGGTGTGCCTCAACTGATGAATTGCTATACTGTTTGGAATGTACTTGAATTTCAGAAACCAAAAGATAGACAGTCAACTTTAAAAAGAGAAGTGGAAATGACTCTCTGAGGGTTGTGCTTCTCCATGGTGGGGGGAGGGGTGTCTGCTATCATCAGATATAAAAATAACTTGAAAAGACTAATTCCAAAAGTGAGATTAGGTGAGATTTTTATTCTTTTAAAATGCTTTTCCAGATTAAAAATGGCAGTGGAGTAAGTGGATGCTACATAGACACGCTACAGAACCAAACTGGAATTACAACTAAAATACAAAAAAAAAAAAAAAATCCTAAATAATCAACTGAAGACTCGCTGGAGAGAACCCTGATAATCAAGGACAGAAAGTGGAGACCACATAGAGACTGGTAGGAGGGGCAAAGGCATGAAAGGTCTGGCTGAGCCTCCACAGACAGCAGCTGAAGTTCCAGAGGGATATCTCAGCTGTAGGGGGTTGCCACTGAGAACTCTGGGGTCTAATCCCCAAGCTGGACCCCTCCCCCCGCCAGCAGAGAGCACCAGAACTGAGAAGGGTACCCACACGATATCTGGCTGTGAAAAGCAGCAGCTTGCTGTCTGCCAGGGAGAGACTGCTGGAAATGCAGGCACCCTCTTAAAGGGTCATAGCACAAAATTTTGTGTACAGCCACTCACCTTGGGCTCCAGCAGAGGGAGTGCAGAATGGATTGGAGCTGGGTGAGCAGAAGCCAGGGTTGGGGGCTCTGGGGTTAGCGCTTGGAAGGTAGACACCCCAGTTTCCTAAGTCATTTCCTCATGCTGCAGAGGTCTTCTTTCTCGGGCTGACCTTTGCTATCCAGGTGGTTTTTGCCTAGGGGGGAAGACAGTTGACCCACCCTAATGGAAAACACCTTGCCCGAAGGTGCTGTGCAGAGTTTCTGAGGCCCATTAAGAAATTGAGAATAGCCTCCAGGCAAAAACAATCCCCCCACCCGGTTGCAAAACCTCTCACCCCACCTGTGGACAATTGCAAGGTTACTCAAGGCTGAATCCAATCAGTCTGCAGACAGAGGCAGGTCTCTGGAGGCTTTGCCTGATCTAATTAATTAGTCAGAAACAGTGTTTGGGTCCCAGCTGCAGACACTGCCTTAGATGGTGCAACAAGGCAAAAGCAAGGGGGACTCCAAGCACCTGCAGCTCACACCTGTGGGACCAGCTCCGTGGGGGAATGGAGTACAGCTCAGAACAGGGACAATCAAGGAGTGAGACTCATGGCAGACCCAGCCTCTGGGCTAAGGAGTACCCGACCACTGGACTACGAGGGGATTCAAGTGAGAGGCAACCAATCAGTGTGTCTCTCTTTCATTGTTATTTCTCTCCTCCCCCCGTTCCACTCTAAAAATCAATGGAAAAAACATCCTTGGGTGAGGATTAACAAAAAAAGAAAACCAGACCTCTATAAAGACATGCTGTGCAAATAGCATGATTTAGACCTCAACACAGCTTTCTAGCATGAGAAACAACACAAACTAGAAATATACACTGATAACTAGTATGAGAATTGAGATTGTTTAGTACTAACTTTGATGTCAAAGTTCATAAGGGAATAAAATTTCTAAGAGAAAAGTGATCATGGGTGAAAAGTACATACACACTGTCCGAGAAATTAAGTGGACAGGAAAAGTGGCCTAAAAAGGGCCCATCAGGAATGTGCTATTTTCTTACTTCATTTGATCAAGTATAAGGGAAATCTGATCTGATTTTCTTGTTTTCTCTTCTGTGGTACAAACTAGGTGGTTAAACTTTGTCTTCTCAAGTCCAAAGTCTGGCAGGGAGTTGGAAACATGGCTGGGAAACAGAAATGTGAATGACAGATGGCATTAGATAATGCTACCGACTGTCCTGGCATATTAGAACAAGCAGCAAATTAGGTCAGAGGTTCTCAACCAACCAGTATATTTTGAAGAATTCACAGGTGTGCTCCCAAGTTTTTAATGAGTAAATAAAAGTACATGTTGCTTCAACAGAGGTGTGGTAGTCATCAGCACTGCTGTGTCCTCTTCCCAGACCACAGGAGGAAGACTGAACGTCCACACCCTCGTGTGCTGGTGCGACCACAGTTGCAGCCACGGGGTGATGAAGGGTGATGACCAGAAGGGACGTGCACCCACCACTGGGAGGAGCATGTACTTGCTAAGCCTCCCAGAGCCCTTTCTCTGGGCCGTGACCATCAGAAGGTTCAAGACTGGCTGTTTCACGCAGCCTAGATCCCCGAGTGTCTGCTCCAAAGCAAACAGACACAAATGCGATGTGTGTGAGGCATAAACCTTTGTTGTTTTAGGACCACTGAGACTGGGAGGGTTTTCGTCACTACAACACAAGATAACTCTCCTGACGGAAACAAAAGCATTAACAGGTAGACTGAGTAACGGAGAGGCTATTCGTCCACCAGGCTGCGGAGAGGCTCCTGCAACTTGGCAAGTACAGCTGGGGTTTAACAGGTAGACTGAGTAACGGAGAGGCTCCTGCAACTTGGCAAGTACAGCTGGGGTCTCCTTTCTATTAGGAGGTAAAAAAAAAGTGCATTCTAATGTGAAACTTGGTGCCAAAGAAGCCCCTGCTTTTATTAAACATCTACTTTTCCTTAGGTGTGCGTGAGAGTTCTTTGGTCAGAAGTGTAGATGGTGCTAAAGGCTGGACAATGTCACCGTGACACAAATGATTTCAACTTCATCTGCAATTTTAATTCCTTCAAACGAGGCACCAAAAAGGTTAATATTTGAACACTTACCTTTTCCACAAAGGCCAAAAATCCATTTTAAATCAGAGATCGCTGCTAGGTCTTGCACAATAGCCTGACCACCACTAGAGGGAGCCATCTGCTCTTTTTGCTGCCTAACCTGGCTCACCAATAGGATGGTGGGAAACTTCCAGCTCCACCAGGGAGAAATTCATCCTAATCTAGCCACTTCTTTTCTAAACGTGCAACAGTGCTAGTGTCAGTCTTGGATAAAATCACCCAGGAGCTCTGAAGTCCACGCTCTCAGGCTCCCCCGAAGCTGATTCAATGGGTCTGAAGTGGTGTTAAAAAATGTGTACTTTTTTTAAAAAGTTCTCCAGATGCTCTGGTGCAGAGCTGAGTCTGCTATCACTGGTGTAGGAGATTTCAAAGAACTGGCCCTTTTTCAAGAAAAAAATTTTGTCATCTACACGTCATTTTAAACAGAGATCAAGATATAAACCCAGCTGGAGAGGGGGGAAAAAGTCTCCTAAAAACAAAACACTTTATAATAATAATAATCACAGGGGGGGAAAACATAGTTATCTTCAAATTTAAATTTATTAAGACATTCAGCTATGTCTGTCAGTCTACATCCAAATTTGCTACTAAAAATAAAATAAAGTCACAACCCACATTAGGAGTACCAAGTCTGAAAAACATTCTGAACCAAGCCTATTGTATAAATAAATGACTAGTTTCTTTTCATATCAAAATTCCCATAAAAAATTGTATCCCCCCCCCAGGTCTACCTGTAGCCATGATGAATGTAAAAATTTAAATATGACACATCCTTATCAAAGAAAAGGTGCAAAGTCTATTAACAGCTTTAAAAGTGGCATTTGCAGTGTGATCATACAGTTATGTACTCATTCCCAAGTGCAAATATTGCCATAACTTAACACTGTTGATTCAGTTGCAAGAACTAAACATTACACAGGATTGAAAAGTACACAAGGCCTCTATCAGTGCCCTAAAGCCCTTCCCACTTCGGTCTCCCACACTAACGTGGACTCCAAAGTGTTCATTAGAGTTTTAGATTACTTCACACAGCCAACAGTGTACGATATATTAACAAAAGTTTCATATACACAAAATATTGAGGACTCCATCAGAAAGTTCAAGAGTCTCAGGTTACGTGAATGTACCTGAGGCCAAATACCCACCCGCCCCTCCCCGAAAGCACATACAAAGTATGAGCATGTTTCAATCTCTGGATACAATTAATGCTTTTATATCTTTGATTTCAATCAGTGCTGTACAAAACTCAATAATTACCAGACTGAGTTCCAATTAGCTGAGGGAAAAGGGGGTGGAGAAAGGGGCTGGTCACTACTCATATTCTGTAACAAAAAGGATCCTGTCCCATAGAAAGTGAAATGTCAGTTCCACTCTGCCTGCCTCTTCCCAGACTGTCCTTATGTTGTCTTCCTTTCTTTAGCCCCTTTCAAACACTCAAATCTGATTTTATTTATCCCTGACAAATCAGGGATAGTTTCTGAAGTTGTTGAGGTTAAATTTCCTTGGCAAACCTCTACAAAACATCAGCATAGGATATATAAATACATTTTGATTAGCATACATTGCAAAATTTCTCCCACAATGTCAAGGGCATGAAAGCAGGTGGTCTCCACTGAGAGTAAGTACTTCCTGGATTAGATCCTTGGAATGTCAAATTTCCCACCTATTCACCCCATGTATTTGTTTCTCAAATCTGGGCACAAATTCCATCGGAGTTAGCCTCCCCGCCAGCATACACAGCGTTACTCCTGCTGCTTTTCTTCTGGGTTGACCTCAGCAGGACATGCTTCATCTTTTGCACCAAGAAGCTATTCCATGGGCTCACAAGTCCCTTCCTGGATACCTGATCTGCTGGCAATGCACTCATTATTGTCTCTGGAACCTTCTTCCACTCCGGTCCCTCGAGGATGCTCTTGGTCTGGGGGTGCAGTCCCTTCCTGATGCACTGCGTTTTCCTCGGCTCCAGCACGCGGTTGTGGAGCAGGCTGGGTCCCTTCCTGACGCACAGCGTTATCCTCGGCTCCAGCACGCGGTTGTGGAGCCGGCTGGGTCCCTTCCTGACGCACTGCGTTTTGCTCGGTTCCAGCACGCGGTTGTGGAGCCGGCTGGGTCCCTTCCTGACGCACTGCGTTTTGCTCGGCTCCAGCACGCGGTTGTGGAGCCGGCTGGGTCCCTTCCTGACGCACTGCGTTTTGCTCGGCTCCAGCACGCGGTTGTGGAGCCGGCTGGGTCCCTTCCTGACGCACTGCGTTTTGCTCGGCTCCAGCACGCGGTTGTGGAGCCGGCTGGGTCCCTTCCTGACGCACTGCGTTTTGCTCGGCTCCAGCACGCGGTTGTGGAGCCGGCTGGGTCCCTTCCTGACGCACTGCGTTTTGCTCGGCTCCAGCACGCGGTTGTGGAGCCGGCTGGGTCCCTTCCTGACGCACTGCGTTTTGCTCGGCTCCAGCACGCGGTTGTGGAGCCGGCTGGGTCCCTTCCTGACGCACTGCGTTTTGCTCGGCTCCAGCACGCGGTTGTGGAGCCGGCTGGGTCCCTTCCTGACGCACTGCGTTTTGCTCGGCTCCAGCACGCGGTTGTGGAGCCGGCTGGGTCCCTTCCTGACGCACTGCGTTTTGCTCGGCTCCAGCACGCGGTTGTGGAGCCGGCTGGGTCCCTTCCTGACGCACTGCGTTTTGCTCGGCTCCAGCACGCGGTTGTGGAGCCGGCTGGGTCCCTTCCTGACGCACTGCGTTTTGCTCGGCTCCAGCACGCGGTTGTGGAGCCGGCTGGGTCCCTTCCTGACGCACTGCGTTTTGCTCGGCTCCAGCACGCGGTTGTGGAGCCGGCTGGGTCCCTTCCTGACGCACTGCGTTTTGCTCGGCTCCAGCACGCGGTTGTGGAGCCGGCTGGGTCCCTTCCTGACGCACTGCGTTTTGCTCGGCTCCAGCACGCGGTTGTGGAGCCGGCTGGGTCCCTTCCTGACGCACTGCGTTTTGCTCGGCTCCAGCACGCGGTTGTGGAGCCGGCTGGGTCCCTTCCTGACGCACTGCGTTTTGCTCGGCTCCAGCACGCGGTTGTGGAGCCGGCTGGGTCCCTTCCTGACGCACTGCGTTTTGCTCGGCTCCAGCACGCGGTTGTGGAGCCGGCTGGGTCCCTTCCTGACGCACTGCGTTTTGCTCGGCTCCAGCACGCGGTTGTGGAGCCGGCTGGGTCCCTTCCTGACGCACTGCGTTTTGCTCGGCTCCAGCACGCGGTTGTGGAGCCGGCTGGGTCCCTTCCTGACGCACTGCGTTTTGCTCGGCTCCAGCACGCGGTTGTGGAGCCGGCTGGGTCCCTTCCTGACGCACTGCGTTTTGCTCGGCTCCAGCACGCGGTTGTGGAGCCGGCTGGGTCCCTTCCTGACGCACTGCGTTTTGCTCGGCTCCAGCACGCGGTTGTGGAGCCGGCTGGGTCCCTTCCTGACGCACTGCGTTTTGCTCGGCTCCAGCACGCGGTTGTGGAGCCGGCTGGGTCCCTTCCTGACGCACTGCGTTTTGCTCGGCTCCAGCACGCGGTTGTGGAGCCGGCTGGGTCCCTTCCTGACGCACTGCGTTTTGCTCGGCTCCAGCACGCGGTTGTGGAGCCGGCTGGGTCCCTTCCTGACGCACTGCGTTTTGCTCGGCTCCAGCACGCGGTTGTGGAGCCGGCTGGGTCCCTTCCTGACGCACTGCGTTTTGCTCGGCTCCAGCACGCGGTTGTGGAGCCGGCTGGGTCCCTTCCTGACGCACTGCGTTTTGCTCGGCTCCAGCACGCGGTTGTGGAGCCGGCTGGGTCCCTTCCTGACGCACTGCGTTTTGCTCGGCTCCAGCACGCGGTTGTGGAGCCGGCTGGGTCCCTTCCTGACGCACTGCGTTTTGCTCGGCTCCAGCACGCGGTTGTGGAGCCGGCTGGGTCCCTTCCTGACGCACTGCGTTTTGCTCGGCTCCAGCACGCGGTTGTGGAGCCGGCTGGGTCCCTTCCTGACGCACTGCGTTTTGCTCGGCTCCAGCACGCGGTTGTGGAGCCGGCTGGGTCCCTTCCTGACGCACTGCGTTTTGCTCGGCTCCAGCACGCGGTTGTGGAGCCGGCTGGGTCCCTTCCTGACGCACTGCGTTTTGCTCGGCTCCAGCACGCGGTTGTGGAGCCGGCTGGGTCCCTTCCTGACGCACTGCGTTTTGCTCGGCTCCAGCACGCGGTTGTGGAGCCGGCTGGGTCCCTTCCTGACGCACTGCGTTTTGCTCGGCTCCAGCACGCGGTTGTGGAGCCGGCTGGGTCCCTTCCTGACGCACTGCGTTTTGCTCGGCTCCAGCACGCGGTTGTGGAGCCGGCTGGGTCCCTTCCTGACGCACTGCGTTTTGCTCGGCTCCAGCACGCGGTTGTGGAGCCGGCTGGGTCCCTTCCTGACGCACTGCGTTTTGCTCGGCTCCAGCACGCGGTTGTGGAGCCGGCTGGGTCCCTTCCTGACGCACTGCGTTTTGCTCGGCTCCAGCACGCGGTTGTGGAGCCGGCTGGGTCCCTTCCTGACGCACAGCGTTATCCTCGGCTCCAGCACGCGGTTGTGGAGCCGGCTCTGTCCCTGACCCTGGGAACTGGGAAGAGTTTTTGAGGTGGCAGTGGCACAGGGGGCAGGTCTCCTGGACATACAGCCACTTCTTCAGACAGCCTGCGTGGAAGAAATGACTGCAAGGTGTGATCACAGCAGACTTCATATCCTAATGGGGAATAAAGATACTTCATAAGTGTTTGTTATCTACAATCTTTGATGATATCCCCAAAAGTTATAGTTGCCATTTTCCCCCACAATTCCCCAAAGAAAATTTGTAACACAGATCTTAGGTTAAAACTCATTTTATATTTTAGTAATAATCCTCTTGCCATCAGAGAACCCCCCCGCCCCGCCCCCACATTACAAATAATGCAAGAACCACTGGCTAAATAATTTTTTAAAATAAGTAAAAGCCAAAAACGAGGAAGAAATGACCTCTTTACTGGTTTCTGCCTTGTATGAAATGCGAGGATTACAGAACTGTAGAAAGCAGTAGAATTACTGGGTCTCCATCAGGTATGGCACAAGTATAATCAGAACCTCAGAAAATGTGATGAAGACAGGGCTTTTCCACAGTTGAACAGATTATTCCATTATGAGATTATTGGCAAGGAGACAAAAATCAGCCACAAAATACCAGGGTACTGGCAAGGAAATAATTTCAATTTCAATGTGTATATCCAATTTTTAAGATACGGTCTGTATAAGCCGAGCCAGTGTTTCTCACCTTGCATCAGAACTGCCCAGAGCGCTGGTTAACCATGCATATGTGTGGGCCAGAAGCTGACAACTGAAGATGGTGTTCACAAATCTAGTTACAACAAGCCACCTGCATGACTTTTATGCACATTCAAGTTCAATAACCACTGGAATACGAAGTGGTAGACTTTGCATTAATATTCCTTGCTTAAGATATATTTGGGGAGGGAAGACTGAAGACATGAAGTTTAAATTTAAGATTATAATTTGGTGAACTGACCATTAGGGTTATTTATAGTCCCAAAACAAGGAATTTCTAGAAATCCCTTGTCAAGAGCTGGTAACACCTGGGAGTCAACTATTAAGCAGAAAGCCATCCAAGGAAATGCAGCCAGCTTGGAAGTTAAGCAATTTGACTTCCATTTTCTGTGTGGCATCAGCAGGTAGTTCAAGCACCTCAAAAAAAGTGATGTGACAAAAGGAAATAGAAAGAGGACTCAAATCCCAGCACTGGCATATTTGTACACAGGCTGGCCACTGGAGCTGCTGTGCCCTGAATCTGTCACTGCTGGGCTCTGTCCTGCACATGACAAGGTGCTGAGCACCAAGGAGCCAGAACTAAAACAGCGACCACTTAACTCGGGGAACCTACACTATACGCCAAGTCCCCTCAAATGCAAAAACAACCCAAAAAACAGTATTTTGCTAGTACCCAGAAGTGTGTTCTAATAACAATAAAGCGTGGTACATAAATGCCTTTTACTCTTAAGAAAAAAATTCTATCTAGATGGCCTAGCAGCCGTGGAGGGAGGACGTTTTCTGTGTCCTCACTGACACTCTGCAGCTTTATCACGGGCCACACTCACCACACTCCAAGAGTGACTTTAGAGCAGGGTGGGGGAGTCTTTTTCCTGCCAAGGGCCATTTGAATATTTATAACATTATCTGGGGGCCATACAAAATTATCACCTTAAAAATTAGCCTGCTATATTTGGTCAAACATTTAATTAACTCACCCCTAAGGCCTTGGCAGGGCCAGACCAAATGATTTCACAGGCCTTATACGGCCTGAGGGCTGGACGTTCCCCACCCCTGCTTTACACGTACAGCTTCTGCTGCTGCCCATCATTTCTGTCCACACTCCCAACAGTACCACTGAGCTGTAAAAGCTGCTACTCAATCACCCCTTTGCACAGGTGACTGGTGACTAAACTCTAGGCCTGTTTTTTTGTTATATTTTCAAGCTGATTTAAATAGCATTTTTAGATTTTTTAATAGAAGGTAATCATCAGCAATACATGGCACATGTGCCAAAGGTAGGCCAATGCAATGGGACACCAACTGGTTGCCTCTACCGTATGTACCCACCCCCCACCCACACACACAGACTTGTAACCATCGCAGATATCCACCACAGGTAGCACATACTCTCTCCACCCATGGAAAGTAAAGGAACACGTCTTCCCGACCCTGGGAATACCAGAAGAAAAAGAGTTGATTCTTGGCACACCACTTTTCAGAAGTTGCTGACTCCTGAGTTACCGTATATATTTGATAGTGCATGTGTGTGTGTGTGTGTGTGTGTGTAAATGAACTCAGGAGTAAAATATAAAATACACCTGACCTGTTTTTCCTTTATTTATGGGTGAGCAATAATGTTGAAAATAACAATATATTAGAATTTGAGGAACTAAATTAAAAATTTAAATTTAGAAATAAAATGGAAATATTTTATCAGGTCTAATCATTTCTGAGGCCCACGTTCTTTGTACCCAGGAGATAATTCTGCCTGGGAATTTAACTTGAATCTGGATAATGTAGTTAATGTCCCAAGGGAAACACCAAAGGATACAGTATGACCCACCCATATGGATTCTTACTGTGTGACTTACCTGATAACAAATGGCACAAATATCATTGTGTTTCTCAAGCTGCTCTTTCGTTGCGAGAGGTAATGATTTAATCTTATTCACAGCATCCCTGCGGAGAAGAAAGCTCTTCCACCCCAGCTGGGCCCGAAGCCACACATTGTAGTAGGAATGGATGAAGATGATCATTGAGCCCATTACTGTCCACTCTCCAAAGATGGTCTCCGAGACGCCATAGGCCACCACACAAAGCGCCACAAGAAACTCCAGCAGGCGGTAAGTGCCATTCACATAGTAGATGACATCATCCATATTTTCTACTGGCTCTTTTCTGAATTCCTCAACCATAAATAAGACATAAATAAAAAGTGTTCCCAGAACCTGAAAGAAAAAGCATGTACATTAAAACAGAATATGATCACTGTGAAAGGTTTTCCATAGACGTTAAACATTAACAAATTCCTAATACTTTTGGATGCCATATTAATATCTAGAGGAGACAGTGGCATAATTAAAATGTGGGTGAGTGATCTCAGTAATCCAGGTATCAGATACCAAAAAGCCATACCCTGAGACACAACTTTCCTAAAACAGTTCTAATTAGTAATTAGTTTTCTCCAACTATTTCCTTCCTCCCTAGGTCACCAAAACCCATAAAAATTCTATTTAAATTTTCCTCAGTCTGTAGTCATACATGTTCCTTCACTTTGAAAGAACTGTTACTTCTACAAGGAACAGTGAATAAATCTTTATTGCCAGTGCTACCTTTTCTTTTACTTCCTATAGATCAGGGAGCAAAGATCCACCTTCGAGTTACAATAAGCTTATCATTTTCAGGGCAATACTGTGTGTGTGTGTATACACACGTCATGTATTTATAAACATCATGAAACTGGATATTTATTTCTGAATGGTATTTACTAAAAAAAAAAAAGTGCTCCAAACAAGTGCTAAAATCTTTTAATATTTTGTAATTACTTCAATTTATGATTTACGTAACAGCTCTGTATCATACCATTTTGAAAAATAGAAAGTACAAAGTTTAATTACCTTGATAAAATAGAATACAGTGACAAGACAGCCTAGTATTTTAATAAACTTACCTTCAACTCCTATGCTCAAATAAATGTCACATATTTTAGTAAAGAAGGTGGGAAGTAATCACCTACATAATCCACATATTATCATGAATCCTTAAAAAGTTTTAGTTATTATACAAAGTTAATAACTTTGGCTTACCTGAAGAGAGGTAAGAATGCTGCTAGAAATAATGATAAGAAGCCAAAAATCCATGTGGAAAAACTGGCAAATCATGTAGGCCATGTAAGCAGGGAATATCAGTAAAAATAAACAAAGGCTCACAGCACGGAAGTGTTTCCATAAACTCCTAGAGAAAGAAAGGTATTCTTTTAAAGTGCCTGTTACCTAGTAACACAACCATTACATTCCCAACTAACAGGTATTTGTCATGCTTCTCTTTACAAATACCGCCCTAAGCACCCTTCACCAGCCGGTCACTGCACTAAAGGTCAGGGCAGGTCATGGCTTAGGCCCGGTGTGTCCACCTGACTCGTTTCTTTTCTCTTACTCTCCACACTCAGCCACTGCCAGGCATCATCAATTCTTTTTTTCCTCAACAGTTTGCTTTCAGTTTCATTCCCAGTCCTAGTTATTTGAAAGCAATTTCAGGCTTTCGTAGCATTAAACCTTAACAATTTTAACAGTAATTTGTGTTAAGTTATATGCCATCACCATCCCCGCTCTCCCGGCCCACTCCACTGTGATGAAAATCTTGGCTCCCGTGAGTGCAGGGTTAGTGAGAGGAATGCTCTCTGATGACAGGTATATTAATCCTCACATGTGCTGAGGTTGGAGGAAAAACTGATGCAAGACCTACTAGCTGCTCTTCCTCCCCAGTGACCTATCTTGGACACCACCAGCCAGACTAAGCTTCCTAAGGCTCTACTAGAATAATATGCAAAGAGCTTTAAATTTATATCTAATTTTTGTGTTTATACATATATATACAAACATATTATCTCCTTATTTAAGCAGTTAAAATTCAATAAAAATCTTATGGCAGTGGAATTATGTGTTTTTTTCTTTCTCTTGCCCAAACGTTCTATAGGATTATCTTAATCTTATTGACATATGCTTCATTAATACTAAAGAATATTGCCAGACAAAATAGTACTTAAATCAAAAACAATCCAATTAAGTGGCTATTAACTGAGTTCACTATTGAGTTCAACATCTTAAATGCTTCTAAGACACCTTAGAAGGGTTTCTTATCTGGGGATAAAAAGATAAACCTGATGAACTATAATTAAAATGCTAATTTGGAATGTTTTAAAAATCTGCTGTTGAAATGCTATCTCCCAAAACACTGCCTGCTCCCTTACTCATTAAACACTACCAAATAAGCAATAAAAGCAGGTATTTCAATAATCAATAATCAGTGTAGACAGATGCTGAAAAAAAAAAGTGGCACTGAATTTTAAGCAATTCCTTATAGAATGTCCTTGTATAAACTACAGTCAGTCAAAATGGTATCTTAAAGAGCTAAATTAATGACTTTTATTCCTTAAACTTTCTGTTATATGAGATGAACATGAATCCAGGCATCAATTTTATCTGGTACCATAAGATGTCGAGATTCCCCAATGCAACCTTAGTAAGTTGCAACTGTCTAAAAGGCCATCAGATGAGGTTGTTACTCCATAAATGCCTGTCTCTGTTTGCCTCCAGTCTTTTTCTTTCGTTTACATTTCTCTCAATTTCGTTGCTTTCTCTCCTTCAGCATTACACAGAATAAAATAATGTATTAATTGCTGTATTTACTAAAATAAATTTTATGCTCTATGTTCTTCATTTTAAAACTGGACAATTATAAAAAGTATTAAATTTCTCTGAAGAAAAGTTTATTTGTAATAAATGGCCTTTGATATGACTTTTAATTTTAACTATAGGACTCTTGAGAGAGAAAATAAACAACAGAAAAGTCAGCCATATAAAAAAATTAAAATGTAAGTTTCTTAACTTGAATTAATACCAATTATTCATCCATTTTCTGCCTGTAAACATTACCCAAATCTTCAGACAACAAACTCATGTAAAGCATACTACAAAAACTTCTCTTGGGAAGTTTCTTACTTGTCTCTAGATGCTCCCAGCGCCAAAACAATAGGATCTGCAATCTCCAGCATAGACTGTAGGATAGAAGCTACAACAATGAAAAGGATAATACTGAGCAGGAATGCCCGGTGCACCACCTGCAGCTCGATGAGGCCCGTCTGCACCGCCAGGATTAACAGCGTAACTCCTTCTGTCATACCCCTAAAACGCGTACAATTTCAGAAAAATAATCAGAATATTTACTTATCATATAAAATCAATGTAATAATGTAGAGTCATAATGAATCAATACATAATGAATCAGTACAAAACCTAATAGCTATTTCTTGAACATACAATCAAGAGAAAAAAAGCAACTTCTGAGATAAATAAGTGTTCTAACTAGAGTTTGGTAATGATCAAAATACATGTACCATTCTTAGATATCCACTGAATTACACATATTTACAGCATGAGACATAAACAGATAAAACCTATCTGGAGAAAAATTTGCTAATAAATTTAAAATGAACATACCCTTCAACTCAATAAACTTACCGCAAATAATTTTTCCTACGAATATACTAGAAAAGTGATGTATCAAAGAAAATATAGTGAATGATGGAATATGTTATATGACATCATGGGAATACAATCAGCAAAATTGAGACTCTGAAAAATGAAGTAGGACTGCTGGTATCTTCAATAAATAAAATGAAAGAAAATAATACAGAGATAGTAGGGACCTAAATATTAAAAGACTTAAGAGACATATCAAACAATTGCAATATGGTCTTATTTGGATCTAGAGTTGACCAAACAAAATGTTTAAAACGTTTTAGATTATTAGGGAAATCTGAACACCAACTGGGTATTTGATGTCAAGGAATTCTTTTGTTAGGAATAAACATTCTATTATAGTTATTTTTTTTCAAAAGCTTAATAGACAAAAATATTTATGGGTAAAAGTATATTATATCTGGGATTTGCTCCATACAAATGCAGCCAGGGCTTTATGGAGGAGGGGACGGGGTGGGTGAAGTTGATAAGGACATGCATGACACAAGACTGTACTTGAGAGTTTATTTCAACTCCTCTCTCAGCTTTGTTGGTTTGAAATTTGCCTAATTAAGGGTTTAAAAACAAGAGAGACATATATAAAGATACTCATAACAGCATTACTTTTTAACAGCAAAAAAAATAAGATAGGGGAGAAACCAAGATGGCGGCATAGGTAAACACCTGCAATTGCTGCCTCGCACAACCACTTCAAAACTACAACTAAAAGACAAAATGGACATCACCCAGAACCACAGGAAGGCTGGCTGAGTGGAAATTCTACAACTAGAAGGAAAGAGAAAAGCACACTGAGACTCAGAGGAGGTGCAGAAGTAAAGTGCAGAGGTACGGAGGCGCACGCAGAAAGGGCTGGCAACTGAGGACGTGGTTGTCTTTTTCAATCGGGAGGGAGACACACGCTCCCAACTGAACGGAACTCCAGTTCCGGGCGAGTCTCTGGGGACCCAGACTCATACGGGGAGAAACTGGACTGTCTGGCAGCGGGCAGAACTCGAGGGCGGCTTTCTCTCAGAGGTGCTTGCAGCGATTACCGTGACACTGAGGCCCGGGGCCTCTTAGGGCAGGGCTGAGGATCAGCCATAGCTGTTTGCTCTGCCCTGTTGATTCCCTGAGACCCTGCCCCACCCAAGCTGTGTGCAGAGGCTTTTGCATATGAATAGCCTGGCCCTTTGCAATCTAAAATTACCTAACAAACTGCAGCTGGGTCAGAACATCCAAAAGAAGGCCCAAGGCCCCACAGCAGCTTGCATTGCTTCACAGCTGGGCCTCATCTGGGCACCCCCAAACCCCAAACAAGGAAAAGGAATCTGTACATCTCTCCATAGCTCCTGCTGGGTAGCCTCAGGCAGAGGCTAAATTAGCACCTCCTTAGAGATCCAAGAGGCAGTGTACCCAGTGGTCAGAGTGGGACCATCCAGATTACAACTCCTCAGATCCATAAGGGACACACTCAGGGGGCAGACTCAGTGAGCACCAAAGCCCCACTGAAGCAAGTCTTGCCCCAGAAGGGTGTCTCCAGCACAGAAGTTCTCCCACCATAGACACAGCTGATTCTCACAGCCAATTGGCCTGGAGGTCAACTCCTCCCAGTGATACCAACAACAATCAAGGCTTAACTACAACAAGACTGTGCACAAAGCCCACAAAGGGGTGCACCAAGAGTGTCCACCTCAGGTAATTGGGGAGGCTGAGCCACTGGGCCCTATAAGATACCTAGCACACAAAGCCACTCTATCAACACAGGGAAGCAGCAAAATGTGGAGACAAAGAAATAGGTCACAAATGACAGAAATGGAGGAAAGCAAACGACTGGATATAGAGTTCAAAACCACAGTTATAATCACCCCCAGTATTACCGACAACAATCCAGGCTTAACTGCAACAAGACTGCGCACAAAGACCACTAGGGGGTGTACCAAGAAAGCGTAAAAAATGCGGAGACAAAGAAACAGGACAAAACTATCAAGGGAGGATATTGAGTTCAGAACCACACTTTTGAGGTCTCTCAAGAGGCTTCTAGAGTCTGTCGATAAACTTGATGAGATGTACAGGAAATCTAATGAGACCCTCGATGGTGTGATAAAGGACCATCTAGAAAGTAAGCATACACTGACTGAAATAAAGAATATTATACAGACACCCAATAGCAGACCAGAGGAGCGCAAGAATCAAGTCAAAGATTTGAAATACGAAGAAGCAAAAAACACCCAACCGGAAAAGCAAAATGAAAAAAGAATCCGAAAATACGAAGATAGTGTAAGGAGCCTCTGGGACAGCTTCAAGCGTACCAACATCCGAATTATAGGGGTGCCAGAAGAAGAGAGAGAGCAAGATATTGAAAACCTATTTGAAGAAATAATGACAGAAAACTTCCCCTACCTGGTGAAAGAAATAGACTTACAAGTCCAGGAAGCGCAGAGAACCCCAAACAAAAGGAATCCAAAGAGGACCACACCAAGACACATCATAATTAAAATGCCAAGAGCAAAAGACAAAGAGAGAATCTTAAAAGCAGCAAGAGAAAAAAAGTCAGTTACCTATAAGGGAGTACCCATACGACTGTCAGCTGATTTCTCAACAGAAACTTTGCAGGCCAGAAGGGAGTGGCAAGAAATATTCAAAGTGATGAATAGCAAGAACCTACAACCAAGATTACTTTATCCAGCAAAGCTATCATTCAGAATTGAAGGTCAGATAAAGAGCTTCACAGATAAGGAAAAGCTAAAGGAGTTCATCACCACCAAACCAGTATTATATGAAATGCTGAAAGGTATCCTTTAAGAAGAGGAAGAAGAAGAAAAAGGTAAAGATACAAATTATGAACAACAAATACACATCTATCAACAAGTGAATCTAAAAATCAAGTGAATAAATAATCTGATGAACAGAATAAACTGGTGAATATAATAGAATCAGGGGCATAGAAAGGGAGTGGACTGACTATTCGGGGGGGAAGGGATGTGGGGGGTGCGGGAAGACACTGGACAAAAATCGTACACCTATGGATGAGGACAGTGGGGGGGTAAGGGCAGAGGGTGGGGTGGGAACCGGGTGGAGGGGAGCTATGGGGGGAAAAAAGAGGAACAACTGTAATAATCTGAACAATAAAGATTTAATTTAAAAAAATAATAAGATAAACTCATATTTGGAATACTATGCTTTCATCAAAAAGAATGAGATGTATTTACACGTGTTGACATAAAAACAACACTACTTGAAACATTAAGTGAAACAATAAGGTGCACAATAGTGTGTACAGCATGCAGAAATGAGCCCAAAATATATATATTATACATATATATATGCACTTTTCCCTGTAAGTCAAGTTATAGATAAAATTTAAACTTATAATTGTCACGGGGAAGTAAAGTACAGGAGAGGAAATATAGTCAATAATATTGTAATAACTATGTATGGTGTCAGATGGGTACTAGATTTATTGGGGTGCTTCATAACACATATAAATGTCTAATCACTATGTCGTACACCTGAAACGAATATAATATTGCATGTCAACTGTAATTGAAAAGTATATTTTTTAAAAAAGGGTAGAAGGGGAAAATATTTTTAAATAAGAAATTTTAAAGTAACCACCTATAGCTGTTATGCTTGGGGAGAGGAAATGGAAAGTAAGAGGAGGAAGGTATCACTTTCCATTTTGTACTTTTTGAACACTATAAATTGTCACTTTACACATGAGTTATTTTTCTTTCTTGTCCTCCCCCCTTTTTTCCCATCACAAAGGTGTTGGCTGAACCTGGCAGGAAGATTATGGAACACAGGTTTTTAAATTTTCTGTAATAAAAACATAATATATACTCCCCCCCCAAATTTCCCCCAATTTACAAGATATTCACTATCTACTAATTCTAAAATAATCCATAAAAATTTAGAGTTTAAGAAGAGGTTATATAAACTTATATAAATGAAACCACGAAACTCCTATATTTAAATAGACATCATGACAAGTTCTAGAAACAGGGTTTCCCAATACCTGATCTTAGTAATTTAATAACCACTAGATTAACTATTATGCATTCTCATTAATGTAAACTTTGATTAGTATCAAAATTATGTTCAAACAGTAAAAAAACTTTAAGTATCAAATACAAGAATCTGATTTTAAAATAAGCTAGCAAAAACCTCTAAAACAAATTTAGACAAGGAAGGTATCCAATATGCATTATGTACATAGAATGAAAATCACCCTTTACACATAGAAATTTAATTATTTTTTCATAGTATTTTAACCCAAATGTTGCAACCATTAAAAAAAAAAACACCTCAAAATTCCATTTCCTCTATAATGCATCAACAAAAATAATTTATCATTACTTCTTCAAGTTATAGATAAGATTTAAATGACTAGAGATATTCAGAGTAGAGAACTTACCGATTCATGGCAGGATCATTCATGAAAGCTCGATAACCCTGCAAGTAAAACTTGCAGAGTGTCAGGACACCCAAGGCAACAAAAGAAACCGTGAAGACCAAACCCAAAAGAGAATAAGGAGTGCTGCAGCATTCAGCAATACTAGAAGAAAAGGGGAAATAGTGGCAGATAAAAATTTTCTATTTGGAATAAAAACATCTTAAACTTTTAAATAACCACCAAACTTGACCTAATCCTCATTAATTAAAACACTCCAAACTAAAATTTCAGAAGTCATCTCCTAAACACCTTATTAATAATTTAAATCCGTTCTTATTATCCTAATCTACATTTTCTTACCCCTTTGGCAAATATTTAGTACACAGCACCATATCTGAAACAGAGTCTTAATTTTTATTTATCTAGGATCTCCTTCAAATGCATCATCTCCTTAATACTCCCAGGGCTTACAGCTTGTTCAAACTTTAAGAAACACATCATTAACATATTGGTGATATTCAAAAGAAACATGTATAGTTGTCTACTGTTCCTTCTGAAAAATGTTGGCTGTTCAAATTATTCTGACTGTACTGTGACTGTGGTTACTAGTCAAAACTCCTTATTTGGCCAAACTGCTACCGGGCAGGGTCTACGCTGGCTTTGACGTCCCTCACCTCACTTCAACGTTTTCCATACTGTCGGTACTTTAAAATAAACTTATTTAGGCTTAGTTTAATTTAATTTAGGTTTAGATCAATTCATTTTATTTTGGGTTATTTTTAAAGCAAGTCCAAGAATATAGCTCAAGACCATTTAATATACTTTTAATATTGATATTTAACATTAAAGTTTGCTATGAATATCACTTACAAGGAAAACTGAAAAACCTTACAGTAAAGCTTGGAAACACTTTCATATTTTATGGAAATATGCTTTCATTGAACATATTAGGTATTAACTTATAAGTATTTTGAAATATATGTATTATGTACCAATAATTTGGATTTAGCATTTACACAGCATCTAAGAAATGTTTAAAGCCCTGTATCTTCAGGTTTGCATTTCATTTGGATACATGAGGAGTTTATGCAAGAGAATCACATCTGTCCTTTATTAGGTAGCTCCATGCTTCTGCTACATAGGTATCCTTCCTACACTACTGCTTACTAGCTAGTTTTTATAGGAAAATATCTAATTTTATGCAGACCAATGTACCTTCTAATGAGAAAAAAATGTCTGGTTTTATGTTAGGAATAAAAATACCTATCAATTCTAGTGGCTGATAGCTAAAAGAATAAATGTTATATGGCATTCTTACAAATCTAATTTCTGAAATGTTTGACATTTTTCTTAGAGAAATTATTATATAACACGTTTAAACAAATTGTCCAGTAATTTAAAACATAGGAAAATCATGGCTGAAAATAACACTAAAAATTTTATCTTATTCTCACTAGAAAATCTGAAAATTTTAATGAAGGTCCAAATTATTCCTATATCTACATTTAGAGTAATCTTTTACACCCAAAGAAGGGTGATCTAATTTTCAAGAGGAGCACATTCGTCTTCCCTTACTTTAGAAAAGAATGTGGTGCTATCTTTCAAAAGATACCAAAGAAAACAAGAGGTTTCAACCTTGCTTTGGGGAAGTGAAAGAGTTTGGGAAATTTATAAAATTTTTTCTTCCCCTCTCTCTTCAATGAGACATTTTATCAATTTTAGTTTTTATTTTTCTAGCTGCAAAAGAAGCTTCTGTTTGTTTTTCAGTTTGTGTATGCTTTTTGGTTGGTTTATTTAGTCCAGGTGTTCTGATAAAGTTGCAACCCTCCTTTTTGTAAATAAGTTTTGTGGGGTTTTTTTGGCAAGGCAACACACAAATATAACTTGGCACACAATAGCATCAAGAAGGCCAAAAAACAATGCTTGCAGAGATATAAATTAAGCAAAGAATCATATGGGAGCTTCTCTATTAAAAACAAAATTAAAGCATTCTTATTTTGAGGATCAATCTATCCTATGTATAAAAAAAAGAACAGAGAGAAAAATTAGTTTGGCAATATATCTAAACCTCATCTAAAATCTCAGTGTTATTTTCTGACTTTGTAATTAAGTCCAAACTCATTTACAGCTTACTGATTGTTGAGCCTATTTATTACACTATGCTATACTACATTTGATTGTGCTTTACAATGAACAGCAATCTAGTTTAAAACACAGTCATATTTAGGTTATTATTCTAACCACAGGATTTTTATCTCTCTTTCTCATTAAATTCAGTTACGTTTTACATTATTTTAAAATTCTGCATAAAATCTCCATTATTTACACTGAAGAAAACAGCAGTAAAACCTAGTTAATAATGGGCCATTAAAATGTGTTTGATACCAATTTATTGCATGTTTATAGAAGCCACTTATCAATTAAAAGTGTTATTTTCAGAAAGTACAAAATCTGACTTAGTACCAGTAAGTTTACTTTACTTTTTTGTTAACATAGGTACTGCCCTATGACATTTTTATTAATACTTAACTTTGTGTAACATGTTCGATCTTAACAAGTAACATGGTCCTTAAGGACCGTAAATTTGTCTTAAACTTCTCATTCCTTGTACCACTTAGTACATAGTGTTCCATCATTTTGGATGGCTAGGAAACAATGGTTCTATCAACTAAAACTCAAGACTTTTATCCACCTGTATTTACTTTCCAGAAGGACAGTTTCATTCTTGCCTTTTAAGGCGACAGTGAGCCATGGAACAAAGATGTGTACCCACGTGCTAGATTCTGAGGGCTCGAGATTCCAACTCCAAGTGGAAAAATGGCAAATGTGGATCTAGCATAAGCGCACAGCGAAGACTGTGAAGTGAGAAAAGACTCTAAGGACTTTTTTTTCATACTAAACCTTAAAAACCAAGTCTTAGTATTCCTTGGGGTTTAGTAGTAAAGTACTGTAATATACCCATTTCACTAATTGTTTGACTCTCTCTCAATAATGAAGCAAAACATTAAAAATAATGAGGCATAGGGCCCTAGCTGGTTTGGATCAGTGGATAGAGCATCGGCCTGTGGACTGAAGGGTCCCAGGTTTGATTCCCAGTCAGGACACATGCCTAGGTTGCAGGCTCGATCCCCAGTAGGGGGCGTGCAGGAGGCAGCGGATCAATGATTCTCTCTCATCATTGATGTTTCTATCTCTCTCTCCCTCTCCCTACCTCTCTAAAATCAATACAGATATATTTAAAATGATAATAATAATAATAATGATAATGGGGCATAATGAAAGCGCATAGGTAAGCCACAGGGTTTGAAGTCAGATGGGGTTTCAGCGTCAGCACTGCTTCTTTCCGCAGTACCACCTGGGTGACTTGGTACAGTGTCCTCAGCTATAAAATGGTAATAATAACAAAGGCACCAGCATCACCAGACCTGGAAAGCCACTGAATGAAAATCCTATCTTAATTAAATATGAAGTACTATAATATGAATGATAAAAGTTAGTTTGCAAAACTTACTGTTCCTAGCTCAGTGTTCTCTTCCTAAGGTATGGGCAGTATCAGACGCTCGTATTAGTTACCTCTCCCTCTCCACCTCTCTAAAATCAATACAGATATATTTAAAATGATAATAATAATAATAATGATAATGGGGCATAATGAAAGCGCATAGGTAAGCCACAGGGTTTGAAGTCAGATGGGGTTTCAGCGTCAGCACTGCTTCTTTCCGCAGTACCACCTGGGTGACTTGGTACAGTGTCCTCAGCTATAAAATGGTAATAATAACAAAGGCACCAGCATCACCAGACCTGGAAAGCCACTGAATGAAAATCCTATCTTAATTAAATATGAAGTACTATAATATGAATGATAAAAGTTAGTTTGCAAAACTTACTGTTCCTAGCTCAGTGTTCTCTTCCTAAGGTATGGGCAGTATCAGACGCTCGTATTAGTTACCTTGTCAAGAAAAGGAAAAGAAGCCTTTCCCGAGACGCAGGCTGATCTCGAGTACTAAAGTAGGAGTAAATCTGAAGAGCAAACAAGACGAGCCAGAAAACCATGAAAAGTACAGGGACCACCAGTTGATTCCACAGAGACATTCCCAAGGCTAGAAGGCCATATACCTCCACAACCTGAAAAAGAAAATAAATAGGAAAACATCTCATCTTGTATCACACATCAATAAACAATCCTATATAATAAAAGCCTAATATGCTGAGTGTCCGACCATTTGACCAGTCGCTATGACGCACACTGACAACCATGGGGCAGACGCTCCGACCGGTAGGTTAGCTTGCTGCTGGGGTCCAGCTGACCCGAACTGGGCGAGACGGGCCGGACATGTCCTGGAGCCCTCCCTCGACCCCTCCCCGGCCCTAACTGTGCCAGGCCGAGGGACCCCACTGGTGTATTAATCCATGCACTGGGCCTCTAGTTTTAAATGTAAGAGTTTATTCTATAAAGTACTACAGATAAAAATTGAATCACTTTTATTGCAAGATTGTTTCAAACAAATTCCTTTAAAGTCACTCTACACATATAGTTAGCCAATAGCATGTTTTTAAAAATTTGTTGATTTCTGCATTATTAACACTTAACACACACTTATCAAATAGAAAAGTAAATTGCCCTGATAGTTCAGGGATAAAGTTATGTGCAGAGTAAAACTACATCAAGGGCAATACCAGGAGACTTGCTAAACTTACTCTTATCTAATCAAAATGATCAGGACTAGCACGATTAATGCAATATTGCTTGAAGGACTAGGGAAAAATGAAATATACAAGGAAGCATTTTTCAGGTTTTATTCAGGAATGTCAACAATGAGAAATAGTTCGATGGAAGACAGAATAATCACTGGAGAGGTTTACTTTATCGTGAAGCAAAGGTAATTAGTGAGTTTGTCCCCCCAGGAAATCAGCAAGTTTTTTCCTTTGCTCCTACTGTGTATTTATCAAGCAACATTTCTCAATTTGGTTTGTCAAGTACATTAACATCAAGAAACAAAGTATACCTAAAAAACAAAACAAAAACAAAACAAAACACCCAGGCATGCTACATGCTCTAACCTAAGCAGTCAACTGTTGTTGCTGGAACTCTCAATGTGATTCTTCAATAAATTATAAAGATCTTAAAATACATGTGGTTGCAAGTTGTTCTGGTTTCTAATTAGTATCTCTCTAGGTAGGTAAAGATCGTTAAGTATTAAGTTAAAATACACTCACTTGCAGGGTATTCTAAAATTAAATTTTTTTTTCATCTGTACCAGTAAATCAAATGCTTTTTCTAAAAACTAGTAAAAAATTAACCTCTCTTTCCCCAATTTGAAAATATTGGAGGGAGGGGGAGGGAGGAGGAAATTGCTCAACTAGCTGTAAAATTATTATTAGCAGCAAACTGATCACTGAGAGAGGTAGAGTAACCTTTCTCCTTTCCATTCAAGGAACAGATCACTAAAAAACCTGCCAGTTTTCACTTCTTGCCCATCAAATTCTTTCTAGGTCAGCCCGGCTGGTGTAGTTCAGTGGTCGAGCTTTGACCCACGAACCAAGAGGCCCAGGCTCAATCCCCAGTAGGGGGGTGTACAGGAGGCAGTCGATCAATGATGTTTCTCTGACTGATGTTTCTCACTCTATCCCTCTCCCTTCTTCTCTCTCTAAAAATCAATAAAAACCTATTTTTTTAAAAACCTTTAAAAAATTCCTTCCAGGTCATGAACTCCATACTTATAATGTGTTTTCAACTGCCACACTAAGTGATGCATGAATCTTATGGCAATCAATTCCTTGACACTGAAAATGTCATTGAAACATGACACTGAAAATGAAGACTTTGTCCTTATGGAGATTAATTAAACAGTGTCCATTAATACTTACTCAATATCTACTGTTTCTTACAAAATAAGACAGCTCCACGTGACTGAATTCAAAGAAGAAAATATAAAATTAAATTGGTCATTCTCTCTCTGAAGACAACGGCAACCCTTCCCCTTGAAGCAACTTTTCATGGAGAGACCGAAAATAACCTCATCTCTGGAAGATCTACTTTCAGGAATCACCCAACATTGTGTAAGATGAAGAAAGAAGGAAGTTCAGGCTAAGGTCAAGAGCTTGGAAAATTTTTCTCTGGGAAATCTGCCCCTGGGCCACAACAACACAAAAGCCTGCTTCACTTAGTATGTTTGGACAACCTGAGAGCTTCCTGTACCTTAAGGTCATATACACACAGTCAAGAGAAGAGAATGCCCATTTCAACACTCTCTTTTTATACCAAGGTCAGTTTTAAGCTCTATTTTATATATATTGACTAGAGGCCCAGTGCACAGGTTCGTGCACCAGTGGGGTCCCTCGGCCTGGCTTTCGGGGATGGGGCCGAAACCAGCTCTCCGACATCCCCCAAGGGGGTCCCGTATTGTAAGAGGGTGGTTCTCGGGTGATGCACCCTGGAATCAGGCTCCCTCCTCTCTGGTTCCGGGTGTGTCACCGGAGAACCGGAGCTGCCAAGTCACCACAGCTCGGCAGCTCCTGCGTTGAGCGTCTGCCCCTTCGTGGTCAGTGCGCATCATAGCTACTAGTCAGAGCGTCTGCCCTCTGGTGGTTATTGCACATCATAGCTACTGGTTGAAGGGTCAGACAGTTGCTTAGGCTTTTATATATATATAGATACTGCAATTTCTCAATGATGTCAAATAGAAATATTTATCTCCTGCATATCTACTGTTTGTATCTAGGAATAATGTTTTAGAGCAAAGTCTGAAAAAAGTAGGAGACAGAAGCATGTTATATTAGCAAGTCAGTTCAAGTACTAAATGAAATCCATCATCATGTTACAATCCAAAACTATTTAACTTCTCAGTTTAAGCGAATTAGGCAAACATACAGGGAAAACTGCAGTTACAGTAGGACTATAATCAGGGGGAAAAACAGGATCTGACCTCCAGTATGTATTAACTGTCTTCATTACAACAATTAATACATACTAAACATCACCTGCCTGGCACTGAACTCATTTGAATCTCCTGGCAATCCTCTGAATTAAGTACAACTGCTATTATCAGCTCCATTTTACAGATAAGCAAAGTTAAGTGGCTATCCCCAGGTTACACAGCTAGTCAACAGCAGCACCAGAGTAAAAACCCAGAGAAATCACTCCCCTTTACTGCCTCTCAATGGCACATCCCAACAAAGAATCTCAGATGTTCCTAATTGGGTTGAAAATAGTTGCTATCTTGAAACCATCAAACAGGTTACCATGATCAGGACTGTGAAAAAAAAGTGAACTAAATCTTTAATATATATAGTACTTATGTAGAGTTTTATCTACCTGTATGGTTATCAGTCTTACCTGAACCAATTCTCTGTATGCAGACTTAGCAAGGTTATAAGGTACCAAAAGATTAGACCCAAGAAAATAGAGAACTTCTAATCCAGTAAAAATCATAGCGAATTTGTTGATGATAACAATGGTCTCCAGAGGAACCAGGCAGAGTCGTGCTAGCAGAGGAAGCATGTGGGCGGAAAAGAGCCAAATCTGCTTCGTTTTCATGACACAGGAGCATAAAGTACACACCACCAACTGACCTAAAGGGGGAGAAGGCATTTAATTTTGAGATTTGGTGTCCACAAAGTAAAAACAAAACCCCCTGTCCATAAGGACGATGACACAGCTTTTGAAGAAGTCTAATTAAGATCACTTAGACCAAGCATGTCAAACTCAAAGGCTAACACGGGCCAAATAAACAAGGTTTGTGGCCTGCAGGTGCGAGTTTGACATGCTTGACTTAGACCAATTTTAACTTCATCTGACCGTAATTACATATTCACATGGTCCATGGATTTTGAGCAGCAATTCCCTAGGATTTGAAAAAAGCAGTACAAATATTCACTGGTCTTCATCCCATTCCAGATGGCATGTGTAATATGGAGAAAGTTTCTAAAATGTCTAATTCAATAGTATAATTCAGTTACTGCTATTATACATATAGCTCCTTTTACAAAGGTGCTCAATATTTAACTCTCCTGGTCTGCAGGGGAAAATATAAATCCAAGAGGGACAGTTACCTGTCCAAGATCATGCTGTGACAACATTTATTCTGAAGTTTTTGATCTTTAATTGCTTTTACAGGACCATAATAAAAGCCTTCTCAAATGACTCAATAGTTAAAGTTAAAACTGAAAAGCTGAGGCAAGGAATTCTCAAAGAGGATTATGCATAATCATTATAGAAAATTTAGGAAATATAGAGAAGTAAAAAGGAAAAAAAATCCCCATCTCTTACAATTTTATCACCCAAAAGTAGCACAGCTAATGTCTTGGTTCCATTAAATGAAGTACTACATATAAAGCCTTAGCATTGTATTTGAAAGCTAGTAAGTGCTCAACAAAAGTTAGTTATCTATATTATTTGTTACCTTTTCAGATTTATGCCATGCATATGAATATACATGGATGTTTTATGTAAAGGAAATGTTTAGTGTACATAATCCTATATAATAAAGAGGTGATATGTAAATTAACCCTCACACCATCACAAGATGGCTGCACCCACAGCAGAGGCGGGGTTCCCATAACGAGCTGTAATGAGTGAGTGATCAGCAGGGACCTAAGGCTGCGCCCCCGCCAAGGCACCGGGCCGGGGGACTTGAGAGTACGCTGGGGGACCTGAGGCTGTGCCCCCCCCCCACCCGGCACTGGGCCAGGGGACCTGAGGGTGCGCTGGGGGACCTGAGGCTGTGCCCCCTGCCCAGCACTGGGCCAGGGGACCTGAGGCTGCGCCGCCTGGTGGGGCTTGACGGGGATGGGGCCGACCGGGTCTGGATCTTGCCCAATGGGGGTGGGCCAGCCAGGTCTGGGTCTCGCGTGATTTCGAGGCATGTGTGGGTGGGTGGGGACTTGACTCTGAGTCCCGTGGCGCACCCCAGACTGATAGGAGGAAGATTTTCATATACATTTTACTAATTTTCTTTCATCTCTGACATTCTATTATTAAGGGCAAATAGCAATATTAAAATATTTCCTCTAATTAATTCCGTTAATGTGCATGAATTTCGTGCACCGGGCCACTAGTATTTTATAATCAGCTCCTGTTATTAATACATATTATTCATATATCTCTCCATACTAATAAAAATATATACCTTTTGTTGTTGTTGCTGTATGGTATATTACACTGAATGTATATGACATAATATTAGCATTTGGCTGTTTTTAAATATTTCATAATTATAAAAAGCTTTGCATATTCATGAGATACTTGGTGCACATTTCCTAATATTTTCTTAGACTCAATTCCTAAAAGTGGGATTACAGAGCTACAAGAAACATTTTTTAAGACTTTTGACATACACTACCTAATTTCCCTGCAAAAACAAAACACCCAGTACACAGAGTGCCCATTTTCCCACTGACTTGCCAAAGTGAAAATAATTTAAGGAAGAGAAGAGCAAGGAATATTTTCTAAGTTTTTTTTACATTTCTATTTTGTTGATAACCAGTAGCATTGACATTACCAATAAGTATATAAAAATTTGCAATTATTTGTTTAAATTCTTATTCATGCTTTCTGCCCATTCATCTACTTGAATATGTAGTCTTCTATTGTTTGATTAAGATATTAATCTAGTTTGCCATATGAATGTATTTCCAAATGTGTCACCTGTCTGACTATTTTAATAACATTTTGCTCCTATTAGTGTAAGTTTTTACTGTAAAGAGTCAAACCTATCAGTCTCTTCTTTAATGGTTTCCATCTTTGCTACCACGGTTAATTACATGGTTCCTCTTACTCAAGAGCATACAGAGCCCTGGCCAATGTGGCTCAGTTGGTTGGAGCATTATCCCGTACACCAAAAGGTTCAATTCCTGGTCAGGGCACATACCCAGGTTGTGCCCCGCCCCCTCTTCCAAAGCAATAAAAACATATCCTCAGGTGAGAATTTTTTGTTTAAAAGGTATCTAAAAGTCCCAGACCACACCCCCTCCAAAAAAAGTATCACTTAATCAAATTATCTTTCTTCTTGCCAATGAAAAGCAAAACAATGCTCTGGGATTTTTGTTGTGTTCCATTCATATTACTGTTAGAAGAATACAAAAATGGCAAATTTTTACACAAAACCAAATGTTTATTATGAACCTACTTGCTATAAAACGTGGTATTTTCTCCCACAAAGTATTATTTTAGCCTTTAAAGAACTGATATTCATATAATGTGAAAAACATTCATAAAGACATAAAAAAAAAGAGGAAAACCCAAAACAATGAAAAACCCAGAAGAGAGGCCACCAAGTGAGACAGGCCAACACTGTATTGGAGAGAAAACAGAGCTATGAGGCAGCATGGTTTCAGCCAGGCCACTACGCGTCCCCGCCCAGGAGGAAGGCTGACGTTTGCTCTGGAGAGGCTGAACAGACTCCTAAACAGCCCAGGGCATGTGAGGTGCCCAAAAGAAAAGAGGGGATTAAAATAAAAATCTGCACCTCAAAAGATGATCTCTCTAGATCTCCAAACACTGCTACCATGTTTGCTGCCACCCAGTTCTAGTCACAGAGGGGACAGAAAAACTCCCCTTTAGGGAAAATGACCAGACTTATGCCATGCACATGGATATACACAGATGTTTTACGTAAAGGAAATGTGTAGCGTACATATTTTATAATCAGCTCTAAGTAAAAAGACCTACAAATACACTTAAAGTAGCCAGTCCCACTTGAACACCTACTGTGTTCACACCAACTGCTAAGCCCTAAAGCAAGCATGTCAAACTCTCAGCCGGCAGAGAGTTTAAGTCACCAACTTAATAACTCACTTTAAAACAAATGATCTGCCAAGAACTACAGGTATTTAAGTAAAAATGTATAGCTTAATTAGCCTCAGCTGGGACCTAGCATCAGTATTCATAATTTTAAAAAAAATAATAATAACCAGGTGTTTCCAATCCGGGTTTGAGAAGCATTGATGTCTCGTGAAAGACAAAGACCAAAACAAACAGAAAAAAAGATCTCAGAGGAAATGGAACAAAAGAAAGCTTCAAAGAGATAACACATTTAAGAAATAAAAAAAGACTGTCATGCCCTAGCCCAGTGGTCGGCAAACTGCGGCTCGCGAGCCACATGAGGCTCTTTGGCCCCTTGAATGTGGCCACGAAGTTTCAATCGCACTGTACGTGCGCGCCCGCATGTGGTATTTTGTGGAAGAGCCATACTCAAGGGGCCAATTAGCCGACCACTGCCCTAGCCGGTTTGGCTCAGTGCATAGAGCGTTGGCCTGCGGACTGAAGGGTCTCAGGTTCAATTCCGGTCAAGGGCACATGCCCAGGTACCTCAATGATCCTCTCCTATCACTGATGTTTCCATCTCTCTCTCTCTCTCCCTTCCTCTCTGAAATCAATAAAAATATATTTTTTTAAAAAAAGACTGTCATAGTACAAAGAAGTATTCATTAAAAACAAGCTCCTAGATATCAAAAATATGTAACAAGAAAATGCAATAGAAGTGTTGGAAGGTAAATTGAGAAAATTCAGAAAGACAAAAAGAAAGGAAGAAAAGAAAAACAGAACCATAAGAAAGTTAGGGGCTCAATGTAGGAGAAATGTTAGCCAATTAACAGAATTTCCAGAAAAGGATAAAAGAGAAAACAGCAGGAACAACACCTGAGTGGAGAGGAGAAGTACAGGACAGAGCTGATTTTCATCATAAAATTGTAGTATTTCTTCACTTTTAAGGAAATGCTTTAATACTAGGCAAGATTAGGAATTCTCTTTCTGGCAAAGCTTACTTTCACTGTGCTCATAGCTATGACCCTTACATTTCCTTGTTCAGAATGATAACTTCCTCTAAGCTCTGAACATTCCCACAAGCCTACACCAGCACTCAGTGCTCGGCTCTGGACAACAGGCTTCACTTATCTTCTTTCATAGAAGAATATGACTCATGTGCTATGATTCTAAGAGCAGACTCCTCCTCCTACTTAGATGGAAGAAGGAGTCAATTCTTGGAAATCTCTTCAGTAGCTCCAAAAGAACAGGAAGTTGTTTATTAACACTGATAAGATTGAATAAATCAAAATCTCAACATACTCTTTGGATTTCTGAATTCCACTATTAGAAATATCTCCAAGAAATCTGCAACCCTAATAAATGATAGCACATTCAAATTACTTAGTTTTTCATTAAAAGCTCATTAATGAAATGGAAGGAAAGAAGTAGAGTTACTTTAAAATCAAAGTCAGAAGAAAACATGCTACTTATTAATAGTGTATGGATTTTGTTTTATTTCTAATTAATTGAATCTTATTTGAGTATACTATTATAACCACTGAAAGGAACAATTTAAGAAAATGTTTCAGATTTATACTAAATTGTAGCTATCACAGAATAAGAGAGAATAATTTACAAGCTTTCTAACCTACCAAATATCCTCACACTTGAATGTTACCTTTACTGAATACACCAACTCAGGATATACTCATAAAGCAACATTATCTTTGTCTCCTACTGTCTTTTAAAACCCATTCTGAAGATTATTGTACTCCTATCCCTAAAGTAAGTCCCATAACTTTTTTATCTTAATTTTCGCAGTCTCAATCTGATAATAACTACAACGGAAACTGAATTAAAGTTGAGGCTTTCCCTTTACTCTGGCCCAGGCCTATGAGACTATGGATAGAAAACCTGCCTTGTGAGAAGGTCCACGATGGATCAGGTACGGCAAGATTCTACTTCTTTCTTTGCCAGCACCATCTCCCTCTCTTCTGATTTACCCAGGATTGAAAAAGGTAGGGAAAGAGAGGGAGGGAAGTAGGAAATTCTTACTCAAGTGTACTGACAAATGATATGGTGCTGGTGCTCCCTGGAATTGGGGGAATTTAAAACTGATTTTTCTCCTGGGCAATTACATGGGTTCTTTTGGGACTGTCCCCATCACTATGGATCTCATCTGCAGTACCCCTGAGGGTTGCTATGTACCTTCCTCTGGCTGTTTTTTGGTTCTTTCCTCAACTCCTGGGAATCTTGGAAGTTTAATCCCTATTGGGGGTCTTATCATCCTTCTAGAGGGCCCTCCTGGAAGGACTAAGAAAACCCCTCCACCCAGTCCATAGGAAGCTAGCATCCTTTGCCTAAACAGATTAGGAGATGCAGAGAACCCCACAAGTCATTCTCACTCCACAGTCAGAAAACTCAACAGCCAGCCACTCCACTGTTGGCCTTTATATCAGATTAGAATTATAATATGAAGCACATATGTAATTTTTAATTTACATATGTGCCAACTCTATAGGGAATTTAAGCCTCATTTTAGAAAGTTAAAAATAACAGGTAAAAAATTAACAATATATTTTACTTAACACTAGTGGCCCAGTGCACGAAATTTGTGCATGGGG